ATGCCTTTGTTTTACTTAATAAATTATCTCTTCATCTTTGTTACTTTCTTGCTCTCTACTGCTAGAGAGGCAAAAGCAATTTGCGAGTTTATAGGTTATAGCACTATATAACATTGGAAATTATCTAAGGGAAGCTATTTTGGAACTCCGTTTAATTCCTTAAAAGTAACAGCGGAACATTATATCCATACCCAGAATGAAACTTGATTCTCTTTCAGCTTTTGTAGAAGTCTGAAAATTGTTAGGAAATCTTGATAGGCTGATACATCATGCATGTGAGAATTGAAATGTCACCTTTAAAAATTATTTGCATGTTCGTAGCATGTGTCAGAAATAATATACTGCTGACCGTATATGACAGCAGTCCCATCCTATTTAGCCTATTATACGTACTACCGGCAGAAAGGGAAAAAGTATCTCCAGTAATCATTTATTACATGCTTGATGGAAGGTTTCAACAATTGTTATGATGTTTTATTTGAATTCTTACACTACTACGGAGAGGATTTCCTTTTAGGTATTGCTGGAACATTTTCTTATTAGAAATCATGTTTCCCAAAATTCTTTTTTGCAGGTTAATTTCTGTGGTTTTTTCTTCTTATTTTGTTTATTACTTATGAATGTTTGACATGGAAGAACATTATTTACTATAGAAGAAACTCTGATTTTTTTAATTTAATTTGAAGGTGTTAAGAATGTTGTTTTGTCGTGATCTAATTCTTGGGCTATTTTCTTCTTTTCTCATAGACTATTTAGCACTGCCAATTGTGGTTCAGTTGGGCAGCACTTTCCATGTGATATCTAGTTATTTACTTCTTTTGTATTTGACATATTATTTGGCACTTTTAGTCAGGCAAAAATAAGATATATGGACTGTCGATGCTAAAGATTCATTTCATTTCACTTCACTTTTTATGCTTCGATATATAACCTTATCTAGCACTCTCGTTTCCTTTTCCATGCTCAACAGAGACAATACTTGTGAGAGCTTATGAAGAAAGGATGGACCTTTTAAGGGCTGTTATGGTTGGACCTCATGGAACTCCATATCATGATGGCCTCTTTTTCTTCGACTTACAGTTTCCTGGCGACTATCCACATATACCTCCAGTATGTTAAATCTCTATGCTTTGACATATTTTTTTCTTAACCTTTTGTCTCAAAGCCCTTGTCTACTGACCTTTTATTTTCTTTTAATTAAAATGTGGTGCAGAGAGCACATTACCACTCTGGTGGTCTTCGGCTCAATCCCAACTTGTACGCTTGTGGTAGAGTTTGTCTGAGTCTTTTAGGAACCTGGCCAGGCAAAGAATGTGAGCAGTGGGACCCAAAGAAGTCAACCATGCTCCAGGTTCTAGTCTCCATTCAAGCTCTCATTCTGAATGAAAAACCCTATTTTAATGAGCCGGGATTTGAGCGGGCAGCTAATACCAATCATGGAGAAAAGAGTTCTCTGGCTTACAATGAAACCGCTTTCCTGTACTCCTGCAGGACAATGTTATACTCTCTTCGGCGGCCTCCAAAGGTAAGCATTACTATGATAATCTGTAAAACCTAATCCAACAATTACAAAACATGGAACCCTTAAAAGCTAGAATGGGCAATTTTACAAACACCCCCCCCCACCCCCACCCACAAAAAAAAAAACACTCCTGCAGGACAATGTTATACTCTCTTCGGCGGCCTCCAAAGGTAAGCATTACTATGATAATCTGTAAAACCTAATCCAACAATTACAAAACATGGAACCCTTAAAAGCTAGAATGGGCAATTTTACAAACCCCCCCCCCCCCCCCCACCCACAAAAAAAAAAACCCAAAAAAAAACACACAAGAAAAGAAAAGGAAAAAAAGGGACCACCCGAACTTTGGGGTGTTTTGCACAATACCCCCAGAAACTTTATTAATTTAAGAAAATCTCTAAATACTTGTCTCACTTAAGTGTTCCATGATTGGTGGCAATCAGCCTAAGTTGTCGTGTTTTGGATGTGACATGTTTTGATAATTTTTCACTATAGCTTTTAGTTTCAGTGGGATACTAATAGGGATATTTTAGACGTTTTACCTTCTTGTTAGTGCCTTTAATGACAATTTCCTATAGTTCAGGGTCTTTTTTGTAGAATTTTCAAATTTCAGGAGGGTTTCTCTGATTTATAAAGTTTAGGGGGTTTTATTCAAAAGCCCCAGGTGTTAGGGGAGTTCGTAAAATTTTACCCTTTAAGAAATTTTCCTAGCATCCAAAACTTTCCTGCAAAACCGCCACAATAACTTCAACTCTATTGATAAATTTTTTGCAGCATTTCGAGGACTATGTTGCAGGACATTTTCGGACGCGTGGACATGCTATCTTGGTAGCATGCAGAGCATATTTGGACAATGCTCAGGTTGGTACGGCTGTTGAGGGCTACAAGGGACAGAATGAAGCTGGAAGTTCCAAGGGTTGCTCCAAAGATTTCAAGCGACAACTGAAGCAGCTCTTTGAGGATCTTTTGATGGAGTTCACGGTGAAAGGAGCTAATTGCAAGGAATTTCTCAGTCAGAAGGTTAAAGTTGGAGATGCGACAGCTCTTCCAAAAAAAGAAGATAATTGACACGATCAAGTTTTTACCATTTACTTGACCCAATGACAAGTTTTGCTCTTAAATCCGCTGCCTACTTCTGATGCTATATAGTTTAGGTTTACAAGGTTTACTAGTATTGTGTACAGTGACTACGAATTTAAGCTTGTAAATAGAGTGAAAATGTACATGTACTTCTTTTGGAAGTTAATGACTCTTTAAGATTTTATGACTATAGATAAGATCATTTTCGTCATGTTAGGCTAAAATAAACTTTGTATGGCACGTTCAATCTTAATTTCTACGAGGTTCGATCTTCTGACGTTTGCTTCTTTCTTCTTCTTCTTTTTTTATTACTGTGGAAATTGCATTTATAGGTAATTCCTACGGCTGCTTTTATGCTGACCTGAGCTTTCATATGTTTTTTCTGTAGATTTAGTAAATGCCGGTTCAAGCTGGCCCGTTCTATTGTTCTATGCTTCTATGGGCCTTAGGTCTTGGTATTTCGTTTTTCATGTGAGTTTTCCGTTGTTATGCGCTTCCTTTAAGGTTATTTTTATTTTATGGGCAAATTACACTTAAGTACTCTATTATTTACTCAATGTAGCATGTAAATACCCTCAGTTGTACATGGTTGCACTTAAATACCCTTAAGTTTCTGAAAGTTGCATTTTAGTACTCTTGATTTTGCAAATGTGAGTTCCCCTGGAAAATTCTCATGTGACACTCACATGTTATTTTTAGAACATTTCAACCCTTTTCTTTTTATTACATTTATTGCTATACCTATCGAAGATCTTTTTTAATTCTAGAAAAAATGATGATTGAAATACTCTAAAAATAACATGTGAGTGTTATATGAGAATTATGGGGCTCTCATAGTTACTAAAGTGAATTTTTTAGAAACTTTAACCTATATATAAGTGAATGTTTATACAATTGAAGGTATTCATGTGTAATACTGGGTAAACAACAGGGTATGTAAGTATAATTTACCTTATTTTATTTGTTCAGGAGCCCAACATCTCATATAACTGATTGCTATTTGTATCTGCTTTCTTTCTTTCTTTCTTTATTTATTATTTTTGGGTAACAACAAATTAAATGGTGGTTCTACATGCTCGAGGTGGCTTTCACATTTCGCGGAGCGCGACCCCCGCATAGGAGAGGGATATGCTGAGTAGGATGTCATGTAAGAGAGGAGTTACGGAGAGGAGCTGGCCTGGCTGGTTCTTGAACATTTAGAGTCCAACGAGCAAAATTGACTCACACATTGTTGCCACTTCAGTATGGAAAAGTAAAAAACAGAAAAAGAAAAAGAGAAAAATATTTAAATATTTGGTTTAAAATTACACTGTATTTCTGACCACTTAGTATAAAAATATAGTAAGTTACAATAAAAATATAACAATTTACGCCATACATGAAACTATAAATTCAAAGTGGATTTAACATCAATTTGACGGAGCATTTATTATCTAAGAGTAATTTTGGAAATGAATAAGTTTAAGAATAAATAAGGTCGAAAGCTCATCTACAATTTGCAATGCCACAACATTAGTATGAAATGAGACAAAATTAATAGCAATTTATACATTTGATTTAAAAAATATATTTATTAATTGCTTAGAATGAAAATACAAAATGGTTTAAAATTAATTCAATGGAGTATTCTGGATTTTGAGTGATTTTAAAAGCAATTGGAGGTACCAGTTAGGTAATATTCCCTTTGTGAGGAAGTTGATGCCTCTAAAAATAGATCGGACTAAGACTTTGTTTTATAGATAGGTAAAAGGATCGCCCACAATTCCAATGCATTGACGCTGATGTGAAAAAAGATAAAAATATAACCACTTTGTATTTTGACTCTAATAGGTAGAAGTTAGTGGATTTAAAAATAAAGAGAGAAAAATCTTTTGGATTTATAGATGAAAATTCATAGTAGAACTTTTAAAGTTGGTGAATTTAAAAATAAATGGGGTTAATTTTTGGGTTTAAAGGGAAGAAATGTCAGAGCCCAAGCCGCCCACATGTTGATAATCAAGAAAAAGCAGTAGCCATCTTTGAAAATTTGAGAAGAAAACAAAACAGTGGGCCCCACTGCTACAGTAAAATATTAATATTTTATTATGCATAGTGTTTTTCTAAAAACTATAAATAGGGCTCCAAATCCTTAAGGAAATCTCATCCCAGAAACAACTTCTTATATAAGAAGAGTGAGAGAGAAAAAAATAGAGAGAGTTTCTCCTTGTAAAGAGAGAGTTTGTAACTCCAGAGTTTTTTTCCTCATAGTGAATTCTTCTATCATTGCCCGTGGACGTAGGCAATCAAGTGCCGAACCACGTAAATCAAGTGCCGAACCACGACTGGTTAATGCCACACATGAATCAACTTCCTGCAGAGTCTCTCCCTTTAGCATGTACATATTTGCAGTTATCTTTTCTCCTTTTATTACCACAAGCACCCGTCTAACAATCTTCATGGTTCCATTTTCGATATGAGTTTTACATCCGAGCTCATCTAATTGTCCCAAAGACAATAGATTCTTCTTCAAGCCCTTCACATGTCGCACATCTTGAATGGTGCGTATTGTACCATCAAACATTTTGATTTTGATAGTACCAATACCACAAATCTCCAAGGCATGATCATTCCCCATGAATACAGATCCTTCTGAGATAGGTTCATATTTGTGAAACCAATCTCTCCGAGAGGTCCTGTGCCAAGAGGCTGCTGAATCTAGAAGCCAGACATCAGCAAACTTCTTTCTGGACTTAATTCAGTAGCTCTTCCATTCTGCGAGCATTGTGTTACAAGCAAGCATCATCGACTGAAGTTCAACACATCGAGTTCTAGAAGCAAGGCTATTCTGGAACTGGTTCATTCTGATGTATGGCAAGCACCAGTTACATCCTTAGGAGGAGCAAAGTACTTTGTGTCCTTTATTGATGATTACTCCATGAGATGTTGGGTGTATCCTATCAAGAAGAAGGCGGATGTGTTCTCAGTCTTTAAAGCCTACAAAGCGCGGGTCGAGCTTGAATCTGAGAAGAAGATCAAGTGCTTAAGGTCAGATAATGGAGGAGAATACACAGACGGTGAATTCCTAGCATTCTGCAAGCAAGAAGGCATCAAAAGACAATTCAGTACGGCTTATACTCCTCAACAAAATGGAGTGGCGGAGCGGATGAACAGAACTCTGTTGGAAAGAACAAGAGCTATGTTGGCTACTGCAAATCTGGAAAAAGTATTTTGGGCGGAAGCAGTAAAAACCGCCTGTTATGTGATAAATCGATCTCCATCAACTGCAATACAAATGAAGACGCCGATGGAGATGTGGACTGGCAAGCCAGCTGATTATTCTAACCTCCATATATTTGGATGTCCAGTGTACGTAATGTACAATGCCCAAGAAATTACAAAGCTGGATTCAAAATCCAGAAAATGCATATTCTTGGGGTATGCTGATGGAGTAAAGGGGTATCGCCTGTGGGATCCCACTACCCGCAAGGTTATCATCAGCAGAGATGTTATCTTTGTAGAGAACCAACTACAAAGTGAAGAGAAAGAAAGCAGTTCGAGGAAGGACTCAGAGACTGTAGCTGTTCAGGTAGAAGATAATCCGAATTCTTCTGAAGCGACACCGGAGCATGATGTACAAGAACCAGTCGAGGCCGAGGCTCCAGAAGTTCGAAGGTCAACTCGTGAGAGAAGACCACCGACTTGGCACTCGGAGTATATTACGGAGAGTAATGTTGCATACTGTCTTCTAACAGAAGATGGGGAGCCATCAACTTTTCATGAAGCTATAAATGGCACAGATGCATCTTTGTGGATGGCAGCAATGCAGGAAGAAATTGAAGCTCTCCATAAGAACAAGACTTGGGAACTTGTGTCACTACCACAAGGAAGAAAGACCATTGGAAACAAATGGGTCTACAAGATCAAGCGGTATCGTGCTAGATTGGTGGTAAAAGGATATGCTCAGAAAGAAGGTATTGATTTTAATGAAATATTTTCTCCTGTAGTTCGACTAACAACAGTCCGAATAGTCCTGGCTATGAGCGCTATATTTGACTTACATCTAGAGCAGCTAGATGTGAAAACAGCATTTCTTCATGGAGATCTTGAAGAAGAAATTTACATGCTCCAACCAGAAGGTTTTGAAGAAAAAGGAAAAGAGAACTTGGTTTGCAGATTGAACAAATCTCTGTACGGTCTAAAGCAGGCGCCGATGTGTTGGTATAAGAGATTTGATTCATTCATCATGAGCCTTGGATACAACAGACTTAATTCAGACCCTTGTGCATATTTCAAGAGGTTTGGTGAAAATAACTTTGTTATCTTATTGTTGTATGTTGACGACATGTTGGTTGCAGGCCCCAACAAAGATCGTATCAAAGAATTAAAGGCTCAGTTGGCTAGGGAATTTGAAATGAAGGATTTAGGATCTGCAAACAAGATTCTAGGGATGCAAATTTACCGAGACAGAATTAATAGGAAGATTTGGCTTTCTCAGAAGAACTATTTGAAGAAAATCTTGCGACGCTTTAACATGCAAGATTGTAAGTCAATTTCTACCCCACTTCCTGTTAATTTCAAGTTATCCTCCAGTATGAGTCCTAGCAGTGAAGAAGAGAGGATTGAGATGTCTCGAGTACCGTATGCATCAGCAGTGGGAAGCTTAATGTTCACGATGATTTGTACAAGACCAGACATTGCACAAGCAGTAGGAGTGGTTAGTCGATACATGGCGAATCCTAGTAAAGAGCATTGGAATGCTGTAAAGAGGGTTCTAAGATACATTCAGGGAACCTCAAATGTTGCATTATGTTATGGGGGATCTGATTTTATTGTCAGTGGATATGTTGATTCTGATTATGCAGGTGATCGTGATAATAGCAAATCCACCACAGGTTATGTGTTTGCACTTGCTGGCGGAGCTGTAAGCTGGGTTTCAAAACTGCAGTCAGTTGTGGCTACTTCAACAACAGAAGCAGAATATGTAGCAGCTACACAAGCTAGTAAAGAAGCGATGTGGTTGAAGATGGTGCTGGAGGAACTCGGCTATGAACAAAAGAAGATTTCTCTATTTTGTGACAGTCAGAGTGCTTTGCATTTGGCAAGAAATCCAGCCTTTCATTCAAAGACCAAGCACATTCGAGTTCAGTATCAGGAGATTGTCAGAGCCCAAGCCGCCCACATGTTGATAATCAAGAAAAAGCAGCAGCCATCTTTGAAAATTTGAGAAGAAAACAAAACAGTGGGCCCCACTGCTACAGTAGAATATTAATATTTTATTGTGCATAGTGTTTTTCTAAA